CTAGCGTTCAGTTCAGGGAGTCCGAGTTATAGAGTGGAGGAAATATGCATAAGGTCAAGGTGCAAGGTCAAATAAAAGCCGCAGAGTGACCTTGTTTGGTACGAACCAACATCTCCCCAAGATGTGTAAAGTTACCAAGTTGGTAGCGCTAGGCTCAATTAGGGTGCGAGTTAATATGAGAGCGGAAGAGACATATGATCAAGGTCAAGGTAAAGGTCAAATAAAGGTACGTAGTGACCTGGTTTTAGTAACGTCAACACATCCTTTCTCCCCAAGATCTGTAAGTATACCAAGTTTGGTAGCGCTATAGTCAATTAGGGGCCGAGTTATAGAGCGACAAGGGAAATATATGATCATGGTCAAGGTAAGGTCAAATAAAGGTCGTTAGTGACTGGGTTTTGGTAGCGTAGGTCGAATTAGCGGCGGCCGAGTTATGAGAGCGGGAAGGAATATGCATCAAGCCGTCCAAGAAACGGTCAAAGTAAAGGTCGCCATGTGACCTGTTTTTAGATATACTGCCCGGCTTCTCCCAAGATGTGTAGTATAACGAAGTGGGTAGCGCTAGTCAATTAGGGGCTGAGTCTAAGAGCGGCAAGAGAAATATGATCGAAGGTCAAGTAACAGTCAAATAAAGGTCGCAGTGACCTGGTTTTGGTACTCTACACACCTTCTCCCCAAGATGTGTAAGTATACCAAGTTTGGTCACGCTAGGTCAATTAGGGGTTGAGTTATAGAGCGGAAGGGAAATTCTCTGCAGCGGATCGAGCGGCAGCGGCGGCGGCTGGGGAGACATGAAACCATAGTATCCCCGCCGACTTCGTCGCGAGGGATGCAATAATAGATATCTAACAATAACATAATAATAATCACATATTACAATGACAATTATCTAATATGACTATAGTATTATATGCAATATATATATATATATATTGTAGGCGTGTTATTCGCACTACCGTAGTAGAAGGTCTGTAATAGACTGGAGGGGGGGGGGTCGTAAGCGGGCAAAGCCCACACACTATGGGAAGCATGGGGCGATGCGGGGAAACGCAATCTTGGCGCCTCAGTGTCGGAAGAGATGTCACAACAGGCTGTGAGTGGACGCTAGATCAAGCAAGCCGAGAACGCGGGACGGGAAGCAATAGCCAAACTCATGGCTAAGGTTCCCCGAGTTCTTGCCGAGTTATTGCGCATTGTGACAGCCTAGACACTGACCAGATGATCTGACATCAGGGCCAGAATCGGACCATGGAGTCCAGCCAAGTGCGGAAACGCTTATACCCCACCATATTCGGTAGTGTGATGTAGCAGTTGTAATACTCACCCTCACCGTATTTAGTATGGCCGGTTGGTCAGAAAAGGAAACTATAATGAGAGGTGACGTAGGAGAGGGAACGCCGTATAAATAGTGGAGAGCAGCCGCGCCTCGGGGGCTCTTTGTACAGACACCCTCTGAGAAAGTCTATTACAGACCTTCTACTAAGGTAGTGCGAAGAACATGCCTACAATATATATATATATATATATCAAGAGTACATAATAGGAGATATTGTTCCTATTATCCTCCTATTATGTACTCTTGATATATATATATCTTCGCCGCGGTGAGCATCAAGCCTACGCCACCGATCTCAGTGTATAGCCCGTGTGTCGGATACCAACATAGGCTTATCCATATTTGTTAAATCCACCCATATTTGTAGATATAATGACGATAAATAGGCCTTAATATGGGCATAATTTTAGCAGTGGGGTGATGTCAGAAAAGTATAACAGCCAAATTCCCGCGAATGCAGCCATCTAGCAGACAAAGACACCAGGCTATATATGGACGAGTCTAGTTTATTGACCTTTATGTTTAGTTTAGTTTAGTTTTAACATGTTTAATGTATTATTTTGATGTAAAGCGAATCCCAATGATAAGAGATATACGTGACAGATGTCACCAATTGTGTATTTAAAAGGCGAGACAGTCTTGCAAAGCCAGAGAGGCATATTCATAATAACTTGGCGCAATTTCATAACAATGTTGTATATCCAGAAGCTTTGACTACACAGAATTATAGAATCGTTCGAACTGTTTTTGTCAGAATATTGCTTATTGTTTGTTTCTCTGTTACGAATCTAGCTATCCTTAGAATTAAGTAAAAAAAAGTTATAAAAAGGTATAGTGTGTCGGCTGAGAATTAGCCTTGCGTGTATACCATGCTGGTGGGAGGGTGATTACTGCCGTCTATCCATCCTGGAATCTCTACCCGTAGATTGAGTCCGTGTGGCTGGATAGTGTTTAGATTGTGAATCCAGTACGCTTCTCGTTCCTTTCTGATGGGGATCGTATGGGTTAAGGGGTGGTGGTTAAAATATTTTAGAATTAGGTAAGTATATGTGGCTGAATTTGCTCTTAAAAGTTGTTCCTACTGTCCTAAGCGTTTTTCCCCGAGCAACGCTGGGTACCAGGCTAGTATATATATATATATATATATCAAGAGCTAATAATACCTAGAGTGTACAACGGAAAAACGGGGAAATAGTGCTATTTCACGACTACATTATTCTACTTTGCCTGCGAGTCTAGAATAATTTCATGGTATTGCATTAAGCAGAATTCTTTGCTCTCTAAAACAAGACCAACCGCTTGACAATACGATACTCCTAGGCGGAGATATCGGCTCGTAACCCTCCCCTCCCACATGCCAAACGCCCTC